AAGAGCCCAGGGATGGGCCCAAGAGCCCAGGGATGAGCCCAAGAGCCCAGGGATGAGCCCAAGAGCCCAGGGATGAGCCCAAGAGCCCAGGGATGAGCCCAAGAGCCCAGGGATGAGCCCAAGAGCCCAGGGATGAGCCCAAGAGCCCAGGCAGAGAAGAAGCCCTTAGCTGCAGGCTTATGGATGCTATTACCTGTCCCATCCTTCTGGAGTTAAAAAAACAATTATTTGTGAACTTTACATCCCTACTACTGTAAGTGTTTAAAGTTGTTTTATAGCAGAGGGTAAGTATGGGCCCAGTTGCCTAGCACCTTAATTTCTCAGACTCAGCAGCCCACCAGCCTACTTTGACTACATTTCTCTTCCTTATCATTTAATAAAATCGATTCTCCAGTGAAAGAACTGTCAAAGTGATATATCCCAATTCTAAAGAACTTTAATTCTGACCAAGCTGTTAACATGACGGGATATTCACTGCAAAACTAATCCCTGTTGTGTTTTGGAGTCAGACAGAAACCTCAAAGCCACTGCTGTTACATCTTTTTTGGACTATAACTTGATTTTCAGTAGTCTTCAGGAGACTTTTGCAACTTAAGCTGTAAAATGTCAACCAAAAAATAGCGCACAGTAAATAAAGTTAACTTGTCTATTAACCTGTAATGGACTATAAAATTATTCTTTTTTTGTTATTTCATCCTTTTTAAAAAACACTTTAAATGCTAATCAAAATCATTTGTATTGACTGACATTGGATTGAAACACTTACCTAGCTATGGATTCTAGGATGCTTTTTACTTCTGATAGCCCATCTTGTCCAAAATACACGACCGTGAGATGAACACGCTTATCCTGGTGAATACACACATCCCTATAAGCACAAAGATAAGTTGATATTAATAATTACTTGCAACACAACAGAAGCTTCAGGTACTTAAAAGCTATTGCCTTTAAAAGTATTAGCAGATCTAAGTATTCTGGTCAGACTTCAACTAGCTTCTAAAGAAAAGAAAGAAAAAAAGGTTTTCCCCTCTTCTTTCCCATTTAAATCAGAAGGTTCCAATACTACGTGTCTCATTCCAACACCTTATTTTATAAACTGAAGCTGAAAAGCTGATGTAAATACAGAAATTATGCTCAAGATCACCTGTGTCCAGGTTCACGGTGGCCCTGACATTCAGTCTAAAAGGGGTTTTCATGCAGTTTGAGAATCTCTTAAGTCCTTTTAGAAGAAGTATTTTCTCCATACCATAGGTTTAATTACAAACATCCCAAGGCAGTTGCACACAATGTTGGAATAATTTTCTGTTGCAAATCCATCAGAACAGAAATTCATTTTGAAAAGGAAACAAAATATTGAAAATCAGCAATATAGCTCACTATATAATCTCATGCACCTACCTAAAGTTTTGCATAAATTGTGCAAATGCCTCAGTTCTTCCAGCAAGAGGGACAATAATGTTAATCATTGATCTAGAAATATCGACCGTTTCACTCTTCACTTTCATGAGGGGTCCAAAAGGCCGGAACAAGGTGACATGCCTGTATTCCATGCCATCCATCTTCTTATAAAACAGCTCATACTGTGTCCCTTTATCTTTTTCTGTACGATAGTAACCTGAAGAATAAGTCACACAAGTAATTTGTAAAGTCAAAGATCCCAGCAATTGTTTTTCAGAAACACTTTTTCCTGAGAACTATAAAGAAGTGAAAAATAAAGCTCTAGGAGGAAAGCTTCTGGGTTTTTCCTAAAAACAAAACAAAAAATCCACAAAACACCACCTCCAATCACTATCACTCTCCTACTCTCTTAGATCAGATCTGAAAAACAATCACAAAATCCCAGCTTCCCCTGCTTCTTAGATAGGTTTTATGGTCATACATCAACTTCTCAGGTGGAATTAGAGTTGGGTATTCCCAACAAAAAGGGAATTCAACTATCTGCTGTGGAAAATGATGGCTGAAATCCAATACTGCCTGTTCTTAAGCCCTTCAGTAAGGATCTTCCCCTGAGCTAGTCCACAGTAAAAGCCGAGATCATCTGGACAACAACCCACACAAGCCAAGCTGTGGGCAAAACAAATGTCACAATAACTAGCATATAAAATCAGAAATGCGGTATCTAAAAAAAAATATGCCTATGATAAATACTGGAAAGCTTATAAACTGTTTTCACTGCTGACCACTAGCTCCAGTGCTTTCTATCCCATAAATAAGGACAGTGGCATTTTACTGTAGCTATAGTCCTCTAAGGATGTAAGCAGAAGTTTTCTACATAGCTGTAACACTGAGAAAACACTACCAGTTCTCTATAAACAGGATTAGCTATTTGGAGACATTTTACTCCCAATGGATAGGGAAATCTATCCTAATCAGAACTAATATTTAGGTTAGCTGATCACTTTTACTTAAGGACTATCAAGGAAGCACATCAACAGTCTCTCTAATTTTACATCAAGAAGGAAAAGAACAAGACTCATCAGTGGATTTGACTGAACTGAGCTCTGTGTTGTGAATCCTGTATTTATATTAATCTGAGAGTATAAAACAATGATAGGAATGATCCTCCAACAGAACTGCCCTATGTTCATCCCACCTCAACTCTACTATCACCCACACAAGGAAAAGGTACATTATCACAGAAACATAAACTAGACTATAACAAAAAAAAAACCCAAACAACAAACCCACATTCAGTTCAGCTGGCCACACAGACCATTGAGAAAGTAATGAACAGCTGCATATCCCAAAGTGTGGTGAGCACGCCTGCCTTTACACCACGCAACCAGTGTACCTCCCTTCACTCGCATGACCTGAACTACCTCTTCTGCAAGCCAACCTCCAGAGCAGTTACTGCAACCCCACTTCTGAAACCCTCCCCCAGCCTCCCACCCAGACAGAAAGTGACAGGGAATGAGACAGATGAACTGTTCTGGTGACACAGAGTGTTGCGCTCAGTATTGATACAGACCTTGTTGTTATTTTTTTGCAACTAAATCAGGAAGGCTGAAGGTATGTGAAGGGAGCAGCCCACAAAGAGCAGCCTGGTTTTGTCTATCTCAGGAACCAGAAGGAATGATCTAACAAGATACATTTTGAAACCTCATCCCTGGAAACATTCAAGGTCAGGTTGGACGGGGCTCTGAGCAACCTGATCTAGTTGAAGATGTCCCAGCTCACTGCAGGGATGTTGGACTAGATGGCCTTTAAAGGTCCCTTCCAACCCAAACCATTCTATGATTCTACAGCCTACAGGTGCGTACACCACCTTGCCCCAGCTTTTTCCTTTATACCCCAGGCTCCCTTTACAAAGAGTCCCTTCCCTAAATCTACCTAACTGCCTCCACTGCCTCCATGTTCCTCTGCTCCACCTTCCCTCTCCAAACCAAATCCAGTTTCATTCAGTGATTTCACCTACTTCTGACCCTGTCCTATATCTGCCCAACAGCCTCTCTTTTACAGCAAGATCCCAGTTCCCCTCCAATATTCAGCTCTTTCACATGGTCAAGCATGTGCACTGGCAGACCTGACAGCAAACGTGGATGAACACCACTAAGGGCCTGTGGGAGACAGAGTAGGGCAGAATAAAGCTGGTACACCACCACTTTAAGTTGATGGTGACTGAATCTAACCTTTCAACTTAAGTGCTTTTCACCCTTTGAAAAAAGTTTTGCAATGCACTCCTTTAAGAGACAGAAATCCATTTATTCCTTTGTGAACATAGAGCTGCATAAAATTCGCACATTTTAATGCTCATGAAAAGCATGAAGTTTCAAATCAGTATTAATTACAAGTACTGAAAAGACTGTTTCAGTCAAACAATGAAAGTCCACAGTCTTGACTGTTAGAAACAGAAAAAGACCTTAAATCCCTCTCAATCCTTTTCCACTCTAACCCTTTAAGCTGCGTAGTCCAGTGCTGTAGCTTGAAAACAGCTTCTTGGTTATGGGAACAGCTAATGCACTACAGTTGGGACACCGTGCTCTCACATGATACCCAGCACATACTTTGTACCAGCACTCCTGGCACAAATTACGATTCAGTATTATATAATATTCCTTCGTTTGGTAACCAATACCTGTTTACAGATGAAAATGCCATTTAGAATGTAAGTGAAGTTTTTAAAAAAGCATGTCACAGTTGCCAATAGCTTATCTTTAATCAAAGGATAAGCTCAGATGTCAGTCTAGAACAGAAGGCTGTAGTGCAGAATAAAAATTTCTTTAATAAAGCAGTTTCAAAAAAAACTGCTGCTGTAACTTCATAAAGACCTTAACATGCAAGTTTGAATTTGAGTAGCGTCTTGCCAACATTCAATTGCTGGAACATAAGATTCCAAACTTTCGAATCTCAACAACCTACCAGCATGACACCTCTTTTAATAGTATGTGCTCCTTGTGTTCTTCTTGCTATGAACTAACCTCCATAGGTAATCTACTAACTTGAATACTTCTATGGGATTAAAGCATCTATATACAGAAGCCAGTACTGAGAACAGTCAGAACAAGAACACACATCTGTTTTTCTTCTTAGTGTATTCGGGTTTTTAACACTTGGGACTGACTCATGTAATAAAAACTGCTATTTCACCTTCCAACTAGCATATGCTGGCTGCCATTCAAAATAAAGCTCTATAAGCAAAGAGGCAAAAAGCAGCAGAAATAATTGAACAGCTGCTATTTCTGCTCCAGGAGCTTCACTCCCTTTGCAGAAGTTCTGTTTCTCACCAAACAAATTAAACTTAGGAATACTGGGGATCAATTACTATGAAAGCCGAAAAGCTGTTCTTCTATTGCCTCAAATACTAGTACTTGTTTTACCATTACCAAGCAAACAACCAAGAACATGTTTGGTCTACATATGTCCTATATTTTTGGGGGTATTAAAATTCTCGGTTGATGTTCCCATGACACTGACCAGTTCCGGTCTTATGCAGGACATATTAAAGGGGGTGCTTGCATGACAAACAGTCCACACTGTTCTATGGATGGCAAGGACTCTGGAAGAGTTTTGACTTTAAGCTTGTAACATTAGGATAAACAATTTTTTAACTGTTGGATGGGTGGGGAGTTTCCCCTTGAGATTCACATCTAAAGGCAGTTTCTGGCCTTTACCCAATTCCAACTGGAAACAGAAGCAAAAGAAATGGACTTGAACAGCACCACTTGAATTCTTTATTAGAGATTAGCTTATTGATAATTAACTTCTGAAAATATTTTAATGCCTCTATTTTCCAAAGGTTAATTTTGGATGTCTATCCAATGGAAAGGCTTTCAATCTCTTGACAAAATAAACCCATTACACTGATAAATGTAACCCAAATAAACCAGTTACACTGATAGTAAAGTACAGATGCCCATTAAGGCATCACTATTCAAGACAATGTCACAGGCTTCTGAGGAAAGGGGACACATGGAGGTAATACTATAACGCTCTTCTTTCCCATCTTACTTATCTTCTTTTTCTCAATATTATCAAACACTGATCTCAAAGAAACCTATTTTTAATCTAGGACTGTCTTAGAATTCCCAATTCATCGGTTAAATTCATTGTTTGTAGTTCCAGACCCCTTCATTTGTGAAAATACAAATTGTTACAACTTTTACCCTCTAGGAAACACACTGTTTCTCATACACTTAGATCTAATGAAAATATTAAGAAAAAAAAACTTCAAAGTGTTTCTCAAACATCAACTGCAGAACAAGACTTTTTTATGGTCATATTTTTGATCTGTTAATATTAGATTTCTAGAAGTTTCCTTTGGGATTGCAGCAAAAAAGGTAACAATGAAACAAACAGAGCCCTACAGAGCTGAGGAACTTGCTGTTTTTCTCTTCATCAGCAGAGCAAGTCAATTGAGCCTTGTGAAAAATAATTTGGAGCTTTCAGAAAATATTTTTGTGGTTGCCTACTTGCAACTGTGGCAGCTCTACCCAATCACAACTCCAAAACAGACTCGGATCATTACTTTGTCTTGCAACACTAAAAAAATACCATCAGTTTGGATAACACTAGAACAGTTTGCTCCCTATCGTGGGTACAGCTTCCTTGCACCACTAGCAGAAGTCAGAATATCTTAATGTAGAGACCACAGAGGTTGAGCATGCAGCAGTGGAGCTGCATGAACAGTTAAATCGAGGGCACAGAACAGAAACAAGAAAGTCAGCATCCATCAGCACATATTTTGAAGTTTTTTGGTCTATGTGGTGCTAGAGTAGTAAAAATCAGCAGATTCAGACTACGATGTCTTATTGAGTAATTAAGTGTACTTTTCCAGAAAAATCTATTTAGGAAATTCCTATTTATAAAATAGACAAATTTAAATAGGCAGAAGGCAGATTGATTTTAAATTCATGACATCAGTCTTTGTTGTCACAAGTGACTCCAATTTAGGTTAATCCTAAAATACCATAAGAAAAAAATTCTTGATCCTTTTACAAACCAAGACAGTGATAGTTCACTGACTGGGCATCAGAGGCAACATAAATGCTGGGGAAGAACTTCAAACATGTTCAGTGGAGATGAAGAGATACCATTAGGCAAAACTGTCTATAAGAAAAGATATTCTAAATTTATTTAAACAGCCACCAAATTCTCTAAAGATTTAATAATACATCTGAAAGCACATACCAGAAAAGATTACCCAGCTCAAGGTTTAGTCTAGTATTTCACAAGTCCAGGAAAAAAGCTGCAATAATTCCCAGCACCAAACATTTACATGAATATTTAGCCTGTTGAGGTAGAAAGCTTGAACATTTCTAGAATAAAAATGCCTGTTTCTAGTTTCACTTGTACTTATGGGACAGTTTTGCAGGTAAGTTTTTGTAGATAGATATATGTTAGTTTTGAAAAAAAATTCCTGCCAGTCAGAACAAAAGCAAGATCAGCTTATCTATATTAAGCATAAAATATGATGGTTACGCATTAACTAATGCAGTATCATGTTTTCTCTTTTGCCCCAGAATACCAACAAAAACAATCCACACACCAAGTTTCTCATCCCCTATTTCAAATAGCAGAAAACTCTAGTCTTAGTCCTAAATCACTTATTACAAAATAATCTATTAGCAATTGAAGAGGATACAGAACTTAAACTATTTGTTTTAACTCAAGAAGATTTTAACAAACTGTTTCTCTAGATGAGCAATGCTAACCCAGCAACAATTTAATTGTGCTCTTAGGAGAGTTACAGGACCTGTTGTGACTTCAGTAGATAGACCAAGTCTGCTGTGAAACTGAAACCCACCAGTTTATGATAGCTTAAGGGAGCAGTATTTTCAAAATGGAAAGGCATGAGCTTTCCAACTGGACTTCCATCAAATGAGAATGCACAAACTGACAATGGAGGCAGCACACTAGACCCCGGTCACAGGGCTGTAGGGTGAGCCACTTGCAGGTGCCCCTGCTGGCTGGTTCCATTCCTCACCTCCAAGTTTTGAAACAACAGGAAAAAAAAAGGTGTCGATATTCAGAAGCAGCCTTTTTTTTACTGGTCCGTGTCTAAATGAGCCAGTAGTATTTGCACATACAAAACCACAGAATACCCACACAACACACAACTTCTCTCTGAAAAAAGACACTGATATATATCACTACAGTTAGTTGCTAACACACCCATATGAGCTACAGCATAAAAACACTTTTTCCATAGTTCCTGTAACACTACAGTATAAACAGTACCTTAAACAGCAAATGAAAAGAAGTTGCATACTTAATATAAAAAGAAAACAACTGAAAGACTGCAAGAAAGTCTACCTCCAGACAAAATAGTACAGTTTTAAGTGACAGCTGTACTAAGAGCCTAACACTGTGCTGGCTGTGTTACACTGACAGAGTTGAGTGGATTCTATGCCTTGCCCCACCTTCTGGAATGAAGAGTACTCACATTAAACTTAAACATAGTAGCTGTTAAAAATAGAGACTTTTTGTGCTACAGACCAATTACATCATCTTAGACTGAAAGAACTGATTATTTCAAGGCCAACAGTACCTTTCTCCAGCATGTTTGCTTAATAGTGCAGACATCAGTACTGCTGAGATCCAGACTCCCTGGATCTCAGTCTGGATTTGTAATAATCTTATAACATGGTCCAACTTTTTTTATGGCACTGTATCTAATACTGTAAATACAAAAAAGAGCTACTAGCGCAGTTTTTGATAATACTTATCTCCATCAGTATTACACTGTACCTTGAAAGCCAACTTCTGTAGGTGTTATCATTAACAAATCTTTTAAGGGCGTCCCTAAGTGTTGACAGCCTAACTGCTATATTTGCTTTTTTAATACATGTTCTGTAATTAAACTTAAAAGCACCAAGAGAACTGAGGAGAGAACAAGAGAACGGTTCAAGGTTGCACAGCTTAGTGGACCCCATAACCAGTACACCATGAAGGGCCTATTCAGGACACCAAGTTGTTCAGCTGACAGGACTAGAACATGTTAGCCTACCCATGCTCTCTCTCCAATATACGTATGTCAACTCTAAGGCAGTCAAAAGCCTGAATATTAACTAAAAGTGGCATAGAGATGAGTAAAGAAAAACCCTGCAGTTTCATACTGAATTGCTTAACTACAGTGGAACAAGAGAGATATATCAATTTCTCCCTCCCACTGCCACCAGTTTCACTGGAAGCCTTTCAGTTATCCAGTACCATAGCAGCTGTAGCACACTGACTTCAGCTACAATCTGTTATGAAGCTCAGTATCTTAGGCAGATACAGCTTTCCTCACACACTTCTTGTGGTGAGCCATTCTTCCAAAATCGATTTCTTGCTCCCTACTCAAACCACAACATAATGAAGCAGTAATATTCTCATCATAAGAAATAAAGGTTCTTACTGTGTAATTACTGTTCAAGACTATATTCAAGTTGGTAAAACCCCTAAAAATAAAAATACAATTAAATGCCTGTTTCGACATTCTGCTACCAGGTTGGAAAGCATGTAATAAACATACCTTCTACGAAATCATTTTCATTATAGAGGTGCCTCTCTCCTAATCCATCGTCTTCATCTTGTCCATCTTCTTCATCTGGATTATTGATAACTTCTAGGCCAGCCTCAATAACTTCCACCAATTCATCTCGTTTATCCTTTCTAACAGGTTTCTCTTCTGGATGCCGAGTGAGCCCCATCTCCAACTGGAATACTTTCATGGACGTAAAGCTTTCAAAAGGAATAACGCCATATTCACTAGGCAGTTTGGCCCCCACGCTCACCTCAGCTTTGTCAATCTGGGAATGAAGAAACTCTAGGAGATCATTGGATGCTTGTTCTTTGGTGCCCTGGTAGTTAATACCATTGACCTTGGTGCTCTTTTTTTCCTGAAGGGATTTCAATTTATCACTCATTTCCTGAAGCTCTTGCTTTAACTGGGCAATCTGACGTTTCAGACTGGTAGCTCGGTTTTGATAATGCTCTTCTTGTTCCTGCAAGAGAGCTTGATAGTATTCTTTACCCATGTTTTCACCTAGAACACCCGGTAGAGATGCATTACCATCTGTTTGTGGAGCACACTCAAGCAAATACATGAGCAAGACTAAGCTGAACAGTAAAGCAAGGCCCACTAATAGCCAGCGAGTCCTGGCTTGAATTACTAAGCCTCTTCTGGGCATTCTCATATTATTTCCGTCTCCAATCCAAAAAGAGGACTTATCTGCTCATGCCTTTCAGGGAACATCACCCCAGAGTTCAAATCTTAGAAAGAGAGAGAAAGCATGACTGTAATAGTTACTACAAGTTTCGAGAAAGTAGCTGATGAGCAGTTTTCAACCTTTGTCTTAATCAGGTGACATTGCAGAGACATAAATCTGAAGTTCCTATGTCATCCATAACCATCAACTGTAAGTTTGGTTGACGCCATACAATTTGTTCAGGATTTCCCACCCCAAACAAAAAACCCTGCAGAGGGCAAGGAAGATGGAAGACACCAGCAAGGAGTCATATTTCCATTTCCTAATTCAACCCTATTTGGAGTTCAGTGAAGCAAGTCTGCAAAAGTAATTTTCTAAACTTTGAATCGACAGCAATTTTTTTTCCTCCACTACATGTAAGTGAGAGCAGTCTACAGTTTAGTAATGGTAATTTTCATTGGCTAGACTGGCTTTTCCTCTAGCACTTGAGTATTTTATTCTTCTTCCTCTCCTTCTTTGGAGTCTGTGGTTTGAGTCAGCAAAATGAAGAAAGAACCTAAAATTAAAGAAAGGTACATATTAGAACTACAAAGCAGCCAGTCATTTGGAAAACACATGAACAAAGTTGTAACACATCAATGCAAAGGACTGCTGGGAAAGGGATGGAAAAAGGAGAAAGAAAACATTACTTTTTTCCATTGCATTACCCATCAGTGATTCCCTTTGACATACTGTCTGAAAAACAGCAATATGGACAGTCTAATGAAATACATTTTTTACATAGCTAGCTAAAGCAGTAAGGGTTCTTCTAGTCTCATCAAGTTTTCTTTCTTTTAATTGCCCCATTCCTTCTCAGTCTTTTTGTTTTGCTTTATTCTGTGGGAGGAAAAACACACCAACAAAACCCATGCCCCTCCTACTCTAAATAACTTAAAAATATTCCAAGAACTATTGTGAAGCAGCAGCAGCTTGCATTTCTATTTACTTTTACTTTAAGTAAATATCTTGTAGGGAATAATTATTTCTTTACTCATGAATAAAGTATTGCAGATTTAAATATCAAAGTTCACAGAAACAGCATTTCAGAATAGATCAAATTCAACAGAAATTCAGATTCAAATCCCAATTCCTAATTGATGAAGGGAGCCTCAGACTATCTATTTCCACCTTTTGATTTGGTTAGGCGAGTGTGAGGGGGCATTGACCATTTGCATGGGTCATCCTCTTACACTGCTGACCAAACTCGCTCAAAGGAAAAGACCACAGTTACACAAGGATATACAAAAAATCCTCCTCAGCAAAGATAGTCAGCAAAACAGTTTATGGGCCTCTTCAATGACAGCATAAAGAGCTAAGAAGTAAGCTCAATGCATGTTAGTCTACTTTCTAAAATTAATAAATATTTCTGCTTAAAACCTGGTAGCAGAAAATAAGGGAAGCTGATTAAAAGTTATCCAGGGATCTCATAGCTCTATATTCATTTTGACTGTATTGTGTAATTATTGTTTGAGGGAAGTTCTAGGACTGGAGTAACTTCAGTTTAGTTCCAGTATGCTTATAAGATTAGAAAAAACTTGCCCACTCCAATAGGCCTTATGGATATGGGTTGGACAGATTGCTATCTTGACACCACCAGCAGCTACAACTCCATTTGCCTCCCCTCCCTTCTTGTAAGTAACTCAGGGTGCCACAATGCACTCCATGTGTTTACAACAAACACCTTGCAGCATTTCTCCCTGATCACCTCCTTGCGACACTTCTCCCTTTCCATTTGGCTTCCAGCAACGGAATATTGCTTTAGTGAGAACCATGTATTAGTGGTGTCATGATATTCAGCATCCTCATTTGAAAGAAAGCTCCAGTAACAAGGCCTGAAAGATTAAGTCATTTATACCAACACCAACACCTGCGATAGCCAATCCTGAATTTGAATGCATGTCATGCAAACTAAGTTTTGCAAGAGCTGCACACCTTGGAGTTGTCCAGCTGAAGTCTACAGGACTGCTTACTAGTATTGCTAGTGCTAAAGTCCCTGCTTATGACCCTGTTCACAAATAAATTAGATCCATTATGTAGAAATTCTAAATACAGCAGCTTAAAGGCAATAATTATCCAAAACTGAAGCTTTCCCACCTCCTATAAAGCTACTAGACACTTTGGTACAAAATCATAGAATCATAGAATAGTTTGGTTGGAAAAGACCATTACAATCATCTAGTCCAACTGTAAACCTAGCACTGCCAAGTTCACCACTAAAGCATGTCCCCAAGTACCACATCTACATGTCCTTTAAATACCTCCAGGGACATCCTTTTAAGTCCAAATAAGACAGAAGTTAATCACTCCTTACTGCACAAACAAAACATTATATAAATGCAAGTTAAATGTCTATAGAGTGATCAACACCAGATGTATCCTCAGACTATTGACCAGGGTCCAGATGTGGTGAATCAAGGGAAACAGAAGGAAAAAAAATAATCTACAGGATAAAACCAGTTCACAGAAATGATGTAATATCATCCCCGAGCTTTCTTTTGTACAGAGTTGCCCCTATGATGTTTTTTTTTTTCACATTTCTTCCTGAATTCTTGTTCTGTTAAACCACAAGAAGCGAAGCCACGATTAGTAACAAAGAACCGTATGTCTAGAAAAATGCTGGACTGTACTAAAGCCACTCCATGCAGAAGATGGCACATCGCAAATAGGTCAAGGCACATTGAAAATCATCAAACTATCTGACTTGCATAAAATATTGACAAATCCCAAGTTTTTCATCACACGGCCTTATCACTGCTGTCAAGAACAGCAGCATTTTTGCATGACTATATACACAAACACAGCTACAGTATCAATACAGAAATAAGCTTTTCAAGTTATGAAGAGAGACTTTTAGTACTGGGGACAGGGTAAGAAACAAGGCTGAGTCTTACAGCTCAGCAGGACATGGAGAGCTTTGTTCTTCCTTTGCCTTTCTCCTCACTTTTACAGGATAAATAAAGAAAATGAAAGCAGGTACTAAGAAGCAGGAGTTAATACTTCTAGTTAAGACTGTCTTAAGAGATTATCTGGGCTACCATGGTACAATTTGATAATGGGCAGGCAGTGCAGGCAGCTGCAAACCACAGCCAAATCTGGTTCATCACTGAACCCCTAATTTAAAGCCACCTATGTAACACAACCTTCTACCACCATAGGCTTTAAACAATCACTAACTGTTGTTAAGTGATAAATAGACACCCCTGAAGCTGGGACATTAGCCTAGCATGCCTTCATTCATTCCTTGCTCTACCGAAAAATGGCCCTGTGTTCAACTTAGATGAGTCACTAAGTTTCTTTAGAAGTCTTAGAAGCAAGTGACAACAGATTTCCCAATCTGGTGTCAAGAGGACACAATGTACCAGGAGATTAAGATTCCCTCCAATAGCAGGGGGCAATGAAAGAACAACTGTGTTCTTAATAACTTTAACTGTGGCCAAATGTACACCATTATGGTTAGCATGGATTAGGTCAACACACCTCCACGGGGACTCGCCGTTCGCATTGCATCACCAACGCAAGAACAGAAGATTATGATTTCTGAGCCTTCCTACTGGCACTTTACCTATTCACACTAGAGAGCTGTTTAGTGGAGCACTGCATGAGGGGTGCTTTGGGAAGAGAAACAATGAGCGATTTCTGAAGCAATGGAAACTACACGTGGTGGGCCGTAGAGAGTTTGCTGGTTCTTTTCCTTCTAGGCTCTAATCATTCCCTCATTAATTGAAACCCTTTTCTAGTGAGCTAGTGACAATCTTATTAAGAAGACAGCCTCTTTGCACAGAGATAGGCCTTGCCTATTTATCTCTGACAGTTTTTGTGCAACACCATAAAGAACAAGCATTTTTCCCACTACAGCTCCCCCATGGCCTTTAAAGGCAAGGAATGTTTGTGCAACCAGTTACGTTGAAAAACATTAAAATTTTAAATTGCACACGGCAAGCTGAAGGGGTAACTTAGTTTGCAAAAGCAGTGGGGAATGAGCCAATTTGGATGTCTCTTTCTTCCTCAGTATTACTTCTACTGAGAAGAGTCATCAAAAAGGAGTCTGACACAGATTACATCTTGTTTCCTGCAAGGAGTGGGTGAAGCCAGTGAGAATCTTAATTCTCATCCCATCAGAAAAAAGAGCGTTTACAAGCCCCCTATTTCACTAATCTCTCTTTTCAAAAAAGCACTAGTTTTGCATATTTACAACCCAAATTTGATATGAACTAGGTCTGACACAGGACTATTTTAGTAATTCCAGTAACTACTCCCAGGCTGCAGAAGATGGTAACAAAAGAAAGCAGTGAAACCCCAGAGTTGGCAAAAGCACAGAGGATCCCAAGAATCACAACAGGAAAATGAATTCAGTGTCACATGGTACATCCTGAAGTTCATAAGAAAGAATGGTAAGATTTCCTGGAAATAGGTAACGACATAGAATGCTGATCCTGGGATCAGCATTTCAATATTTGAGTTCCAAATCTTTAAATTGCACGTGCTGATATTTCACTTTATTTCAATTCTTTGAAATACATTTATTTGCAATACTCCCTATGATCTTTAAAGAACAAGACATCTGAGGCTTATACAATGCATATAAAGATTTGCAAGTTTTCCAGAAGCAACTGGTTGTTATTCTCTCTGCATTTCCAGGGCCTTATGTATATTCAACTATGGAAATGTTTCTGTTCCTTACAAAAGAACTCATTGATTCTCTAAGCACAAGGGAATAGACCAGCATGCTAATTGAAAATGCTTTAAAATTTGTTTTTATTATATTAGCATTCTGTTTTGGTTCCTTGTTGCAAAGGATTAGTATATCTTTTCTAAAGAGGGGAAACATTCACACTTAAAGCAGTAACCTAATTCAGTATGCACTCGCTTCACACCAGACTGTATGGACATTCCTCATTTTAGCATGTTCTACTTCAGACATGTCCTTTTCATTCGGCATGCCCTAGATG